ATCATTAAAAACCTTAACAGTCCCTTGTGAGCCCCTGTATTCAAATCCAAGTTACTATAGGCTGTCAGTGTTTCAATGAGCTGCAGAGCAGACAGCAACAAAACATTGACAGTTTGCATCACTCCTGTAGAAATTGTATTTTTATGTAAACCAACTGTGCCTGACCCATGTTACATGAACTGAAAAATGTATTTTCTGTAGCATGAATGCTGCAGGTGCATTTTAATATAAACATTTTAAAAATACAATATGAGGAGTTAAAATGGCACAAAGTATGCAGAAGTTGTTTGATTGGTAAAAATGTGCAAGTAAAACAATAAAGAAAAATGATGAGAGCTGAGTCAGAATTTGCACATTTTTTCAGCCAAATCACATCCAATTATTTTTTTTTACTTCAAGATTTTAACAGGTTGTTCTTGAAAACATGATATTCACCAGTAAAAGTCAGACATTTCATTTTTTTTAGTGACAGGTGATGTCTTGTACCCAATGAATCAAACCTGCCTTCAGGAAAATCACACCCATCAAGTTATTTCAAACCATTATAATGCAGGAAGTTGGTCTTTATTTGTCAAGAATACCTAACTGACCAGTGAGATGAGACCCACATGGAATATTTTCAGATCTTAATAAAAAGCTTTAGAGTCATCAGTTTGCATAGAAAACCATTCAGGATGGTGATTCCTAAAAGTAGACCATTTTTTTACTACTTACATTTGGTTGAAAAAGAATGACAGCCAAAGTATTCTTTCTTCTTAAAAAGAATCATTGGTCTTATTTCCATCTGAGTCTGCACTCTACAAATTATAATGGAGAGAAAATGTGCTCAGTGATTCTCTTTGTCCTGGTTAGTTTCACTTTACAAGGGAAGCACTGCAGTGAAACAGAAGTGAACTCTGACTCAGCTCATCTATAAACTCATGATGTCATCTGGTCTATTCTGCAGTATGATACACACTTGAATTTCATTTAACAAATGAGCCAGCTTTGAACTAGATGATTAAATAAATGTAATAATGCAGATTTTATTTGAACAGATTGTTGCTGGATGTTTGTGGAGAGTTTAAACCCAGTTTGCTTCTGAATCAACTGCTCGGACTCAGCATAAATGCATACCCCCCTGAAATAATTTCGATCTTTGTCTTCTTGTCACTTTGCTTTATCATTATGAATGACTGCCAAAGGCAATTTTATCAGTGTGTGTTGTTTTGTTTGTGGAATTAGCAAAATATTTCATGTTAAGATTTCATTTCACTCAACCAATTTTAAGGAAAGTTGATGGAAATCAACTGTATGATGAGGCAAGACTACAGACTGTGTTGGAAACAGCATCACTGCTTTACTGATGTGAAGACAGAATTTAAAGGATCAGGCTGATGAGGTAAGTGAAGACACCTGTGTGGAATGCAGATTGGGATCAGGTGAAAGTGGTTGTTTCATAATTGGAGGAGATGAACGGAGGAAAAGTGAACTGATGACTCATAGAACATGGGAAACTAAAAGGGAAATGAAAACACAAGTGAGTAAAACACAAAATCCTATAAACCAACAAAACCCACAGATCCTGACAACCGTTTCTTATAACAGAATGTAACACTAAATATTTGTTGCAATGTTTTTTTTTCTCTCCAAGTTTTAGCTTATTCAGGACCACAGACAGATGTTTGCTTTTTTGTGAAATTTGCAGAGTCTGTGAAAACTAAAATAAAAAAGATGCTCACTTCTTTTATTTTTCTCACCGGTAAACATATGTCTCTGAGAATAAAAACGTCAAAATTCAATTAAAGAAAGAATGTGGGCAAACAAAAACCTGCATTACAATCAGAAAAAAAAATTGAAAAATAAAACAGTATTCATGTTTCAGCAGCTTAGCTTTCTGTTTTTCCCTTGCCTCTTTCTGTCCTTCTTTGTCTCTTTCAGCCTCTTTATATCAGAGCCTCATAATTGGGGTAGGTGTGTGTGTGTGTGTGTGTGTGTGGGGGGGGGGGGGGGGGGGGCAGTAACTTTCTGTCAGTCATTTTCATTTAGCGTTTAAAGTCCATCCAGCTTCTCTGATCCATAATAAATGGCTCTAAGTGGCCCAGCACTTCCTCCCTGCTGCCTCTCAACACCCCATCTATTAGACCCCCTGCTCATCCTAATTAATCTGAGTAGCTCCTCAGAATGAGAATAAAGGTGGACATGAAACAGACACATCCTGGTTGTATAACAACGTCAACATGCAGACTATTAATTTTAGAGAATTTCAATCAAATGAAAAAATTAAACAGACTTTTTCCATTTTAATTTTTTTCGACGCACCTTGGATAATTTATTTGGTTTACCTAATTAAAACAAGATGAAAGCAAACAATAAGACCCCAGTTGATCATTTATTATCTATTTTCTGTTTTAGATTTGATACGCACATATTTTCATAATTCAATATTTCAAGGTTGTATTGATGAATCTTTGAGGTCTTAATTTCTTTGAACAGTCATTTGAATAGACAGGATGATCCCGCAGTTAGAAGTAAACAGATTATTTTACTTCACAATTATGCTATTTTTTCTGCATTTCAGTAAATATCTTTTATCCAAAAGAACATACTGTATATGTGCAAGCTTTCACATCCTGGCATGTTTTGAGCTCCTGTTTGGTGTAATCAACAGCCTCTGTTACAGAACAGGAACCTAAAATTATTTCATGGCAGAAACGTTCCCCCGCTGGACTCATTGCTGCTGTGATTTTATGCTCCCTGATGGAGCCGAGGCTTAAATACCTTCAAGGGCAAACAAGGATTAAACTAGTCTTCATATTCTCTAATGTGTAGAGAGTATTTTTAATATGAAATATGGAGTATAATCCCCTCCATCTCCACGTTTAATACTGCTTATTTTTTGCAGTACTTGTAACTCCGCCATGTGTGACATTGGTAATTTGCTCTGTGCAACAATGACCAAAATAAAAAAAAAACACTTTAATCAACTTGTCGTGCTCTCTTCGGAAAGAGTATGTCTTCATGGGTGACTTTGACCTCTGGGGTGGTCAGTCTCAAATAAAAAAAAAGCCTCCACTCTTTGTAAAGCCATCATTAGACCCAAACTGTCATTATTGAGTGGGTAAACTGAGCGTCACGCTGTTTCTCACGCTGCCTGTAGTCACAACTTGTCTAGACATCCTCGTGTCCCTCTGACACACAACCAGTCCAAATCCTGTTAGCAGCCCAAGCCTTCACAATAACCTACATTCTGTAATCGCACTCACTGACTGAGGCGTGTTCACATGTTGGGAACACAAGATAAAAAAAAACCCCATTAAAAAACAGCAAAATCCTGGTAATGGCGTGAGGATGGAGAGAGGCTGTGGATACCTAGAGAGGGGAATGAGGCTGTTTATTTTTCATGCTTCTAAATCATATTTGGAAAAAGGAGGCTGTGCAATTTGGAGAACTAAACTGATGTGCTTCAAGGTTGTATCACCCAGGAAACACATGAAGCAGAGCCTGACGAGAGATAGATGTTAATGTAATGTCATATTAATAATCTTTGGAAAACTGTATTTAAAGTATCAAAAAGAAAAAAATAAGTAGGTCCTCTGGATGGGTTCTTTAGTGAAACGTTTCGTCTCTCCTCCAAGAGACTTCTTCAGTCTGATGAGTTTCAGGTGAACTCAGCCTTATAAGCACTGCCTCCACATGGACAAACAGGTTAGTCATATGCAATATGCTGTATTTAAAGTACAACTTTTAACATGCAGTGCAAGCTTAGCTTTTAGCAGCAACAAAGGAATGTGAATCTGCAACTATTATTTATTCAGTCAGGTAAAAATGCCTTTTATGCTATTTTTAGTGCCAGCCACTGAAAGCCGGAGCTGAATGTTAATGGTTTTGTCAAGTTTGTCTCTATACTTTTCTTTTTTAAATCTTGACCCACACAAAAAAAATTAAATCTCTTTAATGAGAGCCAAGCACCAATGTTTTTCTATTAAATGCCATTTTTATGCTGTCAAGTTATAAGCTCTCATAAAAATACATATGAATTCAATATGTATCTGTAAGCTTCGCCTCTAAGCCATTTTTTTAAAAGTTGGCATCAATCTGTAAAATCTCAAACTCATTTGAGAAATGAAAGAATATCTTTGTTTAGAAAGAAATCCCTTCATTATTCTATAATTGTGAGGACATTCAGAGCCACATAAAACACAAAAACAGCTGAAGGAAAGCCAGCCGTGGGCGCAGATTTGGCTGCGCCTCTGCGCGCTGATGCTCGCCATCCCAAACTGACACGCCTTGTGTAATCTCCTCCCATCAGCCACGGGAAGTCATTATCCTCCATTTGAGCCGTGTCATTAGAAACTACACCACCCAGCCGGCATTGGAAATTAGTACTGAATGAGGAGTGAATGTTGAAGGAAATATGAAGCTTAAAAAATTTGCATAATGCGATTTTTTCCCCCCTTCCCAATAAGTATCAGGAAATGGATCTGCTCATCTTGCGCAAATTAGAGTAAAACTGGGATGATTGTCGGATTGCAGCGTGTGTGCCTTTAATTACTTACAGTAATCCTAATACAATTTGGAGGCATATACAGCAAAAATGAATCTCCTCTCTCCTCCCCGAGAAGAGGGAGTTACTCAACCTTTTTATACGGGAGATTACGTCACTTTTACACGAGAAAACCTAACGTGTTCCACTGGACTGGAACATGAAGAACGGTTTAGAATAAAGCAACCAAATTTATAAGATTTTTGTAAAGCAATGTTTTATCCCAAACCCTTTTATTTCCTTTATCTTAAAATCTCACTTTTCTAACTTTGGTTTAAAGTGACAAACCTGATGTTTGTCACACGATGACAACACCTCATAAAGGGTGATGATGACAGTGTGATGGAGATGCTTGGCCCTCCTCCTCCTCCTCCAGTCATGGCTCTGGATTCGCCGCAGGTGCTGCGTAACAGCCCTGTACACCGGAGCCAACCATTATGAGAGCAAAGGAAAGAGAGAGACGGCGGAGACGGAAGCAGGGAGGGGTGGAAAGAGGAGACACGAGGAGAGTGTGATTGTGTGCGTGCGTGCGTAAATACGTGGATGTATGAATACCGCCGGCCAGCGCTGCTACAGGAGCACGCACACACATTTCTGACTCTCTCTCTCTCTCTCTCTTTCACACACACATGCACTCTGAGGGATGGTGTGTGTGAGCCAGCCAGCCAGCCTGTGTGAGTGTGTGTGAGCCATGTTGGATGTGAATGAACGGGAGGAGAGATGCTGTTAGGATGCGCCGCTCCTAACGCGCAGACCTCCGGCTCCACGGACCACAGCGGGTAGATGCCAACTCTCCAGGCCGACAGAGAGACGGGGGGAGCCTGGGGGAAGGTGTCGGGCGGTGCTGGCGGTCCTGGAACTGGCCACTTAGCCGGAACGAGGGAGAGAGAGAGAGGGAAGGCGCACTCTTGAGGGAGAAAGGTAGAGATTAGTCTGCGGTGGAAGAGGGAGAAAGGAGGAGAGACAGAGAAAGGAAGAGACTAAATGGCTGCACGTATAACGGGCTTCACCCCGTTCCTGCTCTCGTCTCTGGCACTCCACCTGCTACTCCTCGGTTCTTTGTTAGCCCTCACCCCGGGGACGGTGAGCACAGGAGGGGCTTCCAGCAGACGCACGCCGGGCCTCCACCATCGAGACACCGGTAAAGTGAATCAGCAGCAACAGCATCATCGCTCGGAGGAAGCAGGGGGATTACCGAGGAGCAGCTGGGATCTACGCCCTAGCAGGTGGACTGTAGCGCGGATACAGACTGAGGGATGCGCTGGAGTGCAACACGCAGGAGGGATCCTGAGAGGATACCGTCAAGGCGGGACAAGGGGGAAACAAAAAAAGAGACTGAAAGGAGTCCGGATGTTTTGGGAGAGACCAGACCTCTCTCCTGCTCCAGCACCTTCTCCTCTTCCCCACCCTAGTCTCGGGAGCTCCGATGGCGTAGGAGGGGGTGTGGAGAGAAGAAGGCTGGAGAGAAAGGGCGTCGTTTCATCTGTTTTCACCTCTTTGCCGGTTCAAAACAGCAAAAAGCGGGCAATACAAAGGACTAAAACGTGGTGGCTGGAGTCGAGGCCACACCTCACTAAATGTGGTGCTGACAGAGCCTTTGTGCACGCCTCTGGACAGTGCAGGGCACCCGGAAGTGGTACCAGGAAGAGAGGAAAGGTGTGCAAGGGGGGTTGTAAGGTGGAGAAGCTCTTAGCTACATGGTGCTCCCAAACATGCTGGCAAATCCACTGTTTAATCCTCAGAAATCAACTCCTCTTCCTGGCCAACACGCCTTCACCTGGCTCCTTTCCAGCCCCTCCCTCTTGGTGCAACCATCCTATTCTTGGATACAGTTTACCTCATGCTGACGCTTCAAACCACAAGTGTTATCCATTCTTTACTAACATGTTTGACTGGATTCAAGCTGCAAAACTGGACTGTGTTTGTCGTTTTCCGACTTTCATTTACTCTCAGACCGGATGCACTTGTAAAATCAAGCCACAACCAGTTTACAGGATCAGCAACAGCAAGAAGCAGGTATGGGATGGTGAAAGGAGGGCTGGTAATTGTTCTCATTCGGGCAGGCACAATGTTATCAGCAGCAACAGGAAGTTGGTTGAATTCAGCAGCAGTAGGACTGTGGGCATTAAGAGCAGAGAGGGGAAGGCTGAGATTTACCAAGGTGCCAGGGCAAATGCCAGATCTGATTATACCAGAATTATGGTTGAAGAGAGGGATGATGGAAACAAGGGAAAAGAAAGGGGAGGAGGGGTTTACCACAGCAACAAACACAGTAAATTATCTCAGGATAATGGTTTGGTTTTTCCGAAAGTGACGCTCTTACGCTGTACTGAAAATAAGCTACAGGAAGAAAAAACAGCAATCAGAGGGCAGAACAGACAGGTTACTAGTGGTTGCTTCATTTGTTTGGGCAAAAATAATCTAAGGGGGGAAGGACATTTAGCTGGGTTTATGGGCCCCCAGGGAGGAGGAACTGAGATGAATCTCCTCAACCAATTCAGTATTATGGCAGAAACATCCAACCGACAGTTTGAGTCCAGCAAAAAAGCCATTACTGACATCAAATTTAAATATTCTGAATATAACCCCCTCACTCAGACAGAAACAGATAATTATGAAAGCATAAAACTACTCAAATCACACATAAACCCTGAAAAACTAAAAGCTTCAGAAGCAGCTAGTGACTCAGACTTTTTCTTGCCTAAGTTTCCCTTCTCATCCTCCCGCCCTGTCACAACTCGCTCTGCAGTAAAAGTAAAAACACACATAGAGAGAGAACAGCGTCCCTCATTTTTCTCACAAATTAACCAGACCACGTGGCAACAGAATGTGTTACAACCCTCCTCCTCTACTGAGGAGGTCATTTCAGCTCAATCTACAGCTCAGAGCGTGTTCCTGTTCAGCAAATTTAACATAAACAGCAATAACAACAATCAGAAGGAGGGGATCAGAGAAAATAATGGGTATAGTCTTGAATCTCAGATAGAAAAGTCAGCATGGCATAGTGAGACACAAAAACCATATCTGGGGGAAAGTGCTGTCTATGCGAGGTGTGCTGAAAGCATTCCCAATGACTGTTCTGCCACTGAACAAGGTGCACATATGCAATTAAAATCTGGTAATCAAGTGCCATTAGAGCCTGAAGGTGTCAGACAGTCAGATAGGCGGCAGATGGGAACAAGAGAAGAAAGGGAGAGGAGCGCTGAAAGGGAGGGAGAGGGCTCGGAGGGGTCCACTGCTGATGCTGCTGCTGCTGTTCGGGGAGAAAAATTACAGGTGGGGGAGGGCGAGGGAGAGGCATGGCTGATGAGAGGCAGGGAACCACGTGCAGAGGAGAAAGAGGAGGAGGTGCGGGAGAAAGGAGTTACAAAGGGAAGCCATGGAGAGGAGAGTAAGGATGAGGGGGGGATAGATCAGGGTAGGGGCAGTAGCACTTCAGCCATCACACAGTTACATCACACAAGGGGGAAAAGAGATAGCAAAGCAGATGAAAGCCACAAGGGAAGTGAGGAGATTAAGACTGAGGTTGAGGACGAGGAAGGGCACACTTCAAAGGAAGAGAGGAGCCTGGAACGGTTGATAGTAGTAGCAGATGATGGTACCTCACCTGGAGAAAAAGACAGAAGGATTGTGATGCCGTGGTCTCGACCTCGACGTGCAGCCAACAGGCACCCTCATTTCTCACTGTATAACTACCAAGTTCAGGTGGCTGAGAACCAGCCGCCCGGCACCTCTGTCATTATAATGTCAGCCTCAGACCCAGATGCAGGAGATGCAGGCAGGGTGAGCTACACAATAGCTCCACTGATGAACAGTCGATCATCTGACTATTTCCACATCCACCCAGACTCAGGCCTCATCACCACCACTCAAGTTCTTGACAGGGAGCACATGGATCTGCATTACTTCCGGGTCACAGCGACTGATCATGGCTCCCCACGCCTCTCCGGCACCACCATGGTAGCCATTACTGTTTCAGACAGGAATGATCATTCTCCTATATTTGAGCAAGCAGAGTACAGAGAGACGATTAGGGAGAACGTCGAGGAAGGCTATCCCATTCTTCAGCTGAGAGCAACAGATTCAGACTCACCATCTAATGCCAATATACGTTACCGGTTTGTTGGCGATTCAGCTGCAATAGCACGAGCTGCCTTTGAAATTGATCCACGCTCCGGTCTGATTACAACTCGTGGATCTGTAGATCGTGAAACAAATGAGCACTACACACTCCAGGTGGAGGCCAGTGACCAGGGGAAAGATCCAGGCCCACGATCTGCGACTGTCAAAGTTTTCATCACTGTGCTGGATGAGAATGATAATGTGCCACAGTTTAGTGAGAAGCGCTATGTGGTGGCTGTGAAGGAGGATGTTCGGCCTCACTCTGAGATCCTCCGTGTGAGTGCCACAGACCGAGACAAGGACAGTAATGCTGCTGTTCACTATAACATAATTAGCGGAAACAGCCGTGGACAGTTTTCCATTGACAGTGTCACAGGTGAAATACAGGTGGTGGCACCTCTCGATTTTGAGTCAGAACGGGAGTATACACTGCGTGTTCGTGCACAGGATAATGGACGACCACCTCTCTCCAACAACACCGGAATTGTTAGTGTTCAAATTACAGATGTTAACGATAACCCACCTATATTCGTCTCCACACCATTCCAGGCATCTGTGCTTGAGAGTGCCCCAGTTGGCAGCTCCATCCTCCACATACAGGCCATTGATACAGACTCAGGTGATAATGCTCGCCTTGAGTACAGATTAACTGGCACTGGCTCTGACACACCGTTTGTTATCAACTCTGCAACAGGCTGGGTCACTGTCAGCTCCATTCTTGACAGGGAATCTGTGGAGCATTATTTCTTTGGGGTTGAGGCCAGGGATTATGGCATGCCACCTCTTTCTGCCACAGCAAGTGTCACCATTACGGTCATGGATGTTAATGACAATCGGCCCGAGTTCCTCCAAAAAGAGTACTACGCTCGGCTGAATGAGGATGCAGCGGTTGGTACCAGTGTAGTGACTGTCACAGCTGTGGATAGAGATGTCAACAGTGCTGTGACCTATCAGATAACGGGAGGAAACACCAGAAACCGCTTTGCTATCAGCACAGCAGGAGGAGCAGGGCTTCTCTCCTTAGCCCTCCCACTGGACTACAAACAGGAACGCCGTTATGTTCTCACTGTCACTGCCTCTGACCGCACTCTCCACGACACCTGTCAGGTACACATCAACATCACTGATGCCAACACACACCGACCTGTATTCCAGAGTGCTCATTACTCTGTCAGTGTAAATGAAGACAAACCATCTGGAAGTACTGTAGTTGTGATCAGTGCCACGGATGATGATGTTGGTGAAAATGCTCGAATCACATATTTTCTTGAAGACAACATCCCTCAGTTTCGCATCGATGCAGCCACAGGGGCAATAACACTTCAGGCAGAGCTTGACTATGAGGACCAGATGACCTACACTTTGGCTATAACAGCTAAAGACAATGGTATACCACAGAAATCAGACACAACATATGTAGAAGTAAATGTGAATGATGTGAATGACAATGCACCTCAGTTCCTCAGTCCCAGATATCAGGGGACGGTAAGTGAAGATGCTCCCCCATTCACCAGTGTCCTCCAGATCTCAGCCACCGATCGTGATGCTCATGCTAATGGCCGCGTTCAATACACCTTCCAATACGGTGAGGATGGAGATGGAGATTTTACTATTGAACCTACATCTGGCATCGTCCGAACTTTCCGTCGCCTGGATCGTGAGAGCGTGCCATTCTATGAGCTCACTGCCTATGCTGTAGATCGTGGTGTGCCCCCACAACGAACCCCTGTTCACCTTCAGGTGACAGTCCTTGATGTAAATGACAATGCACCCGTCTTCCCTGCTGATGACTTTGAGGTTATGGTGAAGGAAAACAGTGCTGTGGGTTCTGTTGTAGCCCAAATCACTGCCACTGATCCAGATGAGGGTGCTAATGCTCAGATCATGTACCAAATCGTAGAGGGCAACATCCCAGAGATCTTTCAGATGGACATATTTTCAGGAGAACTCACTTCACTCATTGATCTGGACTATGAGTCTCGTAATGAATATGTGATTGTAGTCCAGGCCACATCGGCCCCTCTAGTCAGCAGGGCCACTGTTAGAATCTGTCTGGTGGACCAGAATGACAACCGACCAACTCTGAAGGACTTCCAAATCATTTTCAACAACTTTGTGTCCAATCGGTCGAACAGTTTCCCCAATGGGGTGATAGGGAGGGTACCGGCCCATGACCCTGATGTGTCAGACAGGCTGTACTACACCATCGACCGGGGAAATGAACTTCACCTGCTGCTCCTGAATCACACCAGTGGAGAGATCAAACTGAGTCGAAAACTGGATAACAACAGGCCACTGGTTGCTCCCATGCTGATCACTGTCACAGGTAAGAGACCCTGAAGGGAAAAATGTTTGGCAAAAATGTGGGGGAGCTGGTGTGTACGTGTTATCCATTTAGATCCCCCTAAAGCTTTTTTCAGTGTAAAATATGCTGTGAAGATAAGGGCTGTAATGCTGCAGGGTTTGTGTGTAGGATGTGAAAAATGGAAGAAAAACAGGAGAGTGCTGGCTGAGCTCTGTGCTGTCTTTTAGCTTGTGCTCATGAAGAAATTGGATTTTGTCATCTGACCTTTGTAAAACTTAATAGAAGGTGCATGGTGATTGAATGAGTGAGTATACAAGACAATGCAAGAACATGTAGTTTTGTTTATGGATTCTTGACATCTGTTGCCTTAGTATTTTAAGGAAAATTTTTAAAATTTAATAAAAAGTAATGAAGCTTTTGTTCAAAGTCTATTTTTCCTGAAAGCAAGCAACCTATGTTAATTATCAATGTGTGAAGGATGCGTATGAGGAATGGATATAGCCAATATCCATGTATTTACTTTGGATATGGGAATTACTTTTTTGTATATTAGTATCTTTGATCACTTTCACAAAACTGCAAAGATTGTTCGGTTGAAAAGTTTTGTATGAAGTGCAGCCTAATTTAAAACTATCTGTTCTATCTTTAGATAAGTTTTTCAGTAGAGAAACAACTGAACCAGTCTGAGTCAAGTGCACTCACTGTCTGAATATCCCTTGCGTGCCTTTAAAGATTGTTTTATGATCAAAAGTCAATAAAATATACACTTTTAAGGGCTGAAACGATTTTGGCTTTACTGACTTGAACAAAACTGAGATCATACACTAAACAGTATAAGTTCATCGAGTTTTAAGCTGTTTGTTGTGCTATCTTCAACACATCACAGCACATGCTTTTTGATCAAAGTAATATGTTATTTACTATTTTTTAAACACCTTCTTTTTGTGTGCATCTCTAAACCTGGCTTTAAAATATTGCTTGCCTAATGTTTTGCAGACTTATTTGCTGCCAGTGATCAAAGCCTTAGAAACCAAAAAAGCTCCAGAAAAAGAAATGAGAGCAGCCTTGTTGCTTTGAAGAATGGATATTGTTGTGTTCGCATTCTGTCAGAGAGAATAAGTGGAAGTGAGGTTGCTTGGGAATGTTTGTGACCTGCTATCCTATTTACGCTATTTGTGAAAGAAGACTTACATGTGGCGATGTTGGCCAATGAAAATTGACTTTGGTGGAATAAAAAAAAAAAGAAAAGAAAAGAAAATACGTCATGAATGAAAGTCTCAAATGGCAGGAATATCTCCTAAGATTATCTTAGAGCTGTCATGATGATCAGGGCATCATTGAGATTGTTGGAAGGGCCAAAAATCATAATTACCTTGCCATGTGAACCTGGCATAAGTTATCATGGGGTAGCTGTGGTGCAGTAGTAGGACAGTTGTCTTAGAACCAGAAAGTCAGAGGTTTGATTACCCACCATGCACACATTGTGGTGTTGTTGAGCAAGACAACTTATCCCTATGGCTCCTTGAGCAGTTTACATAGCTGCTCCACTATCTCATGTGTGATGGGTCAAATTCAAGCGTGCATTGATGACAATACATAGCACATTATTCAAAACAATTTGTTCAGTGGTTCATGAGATATTTTTAACAGGCAGACAGAACTGACTCTGGGTAGTTATGGCTAAATTTGAAATAATGATATCACAAAATCTGTTAGTGGCCAAATTTGTGTTGAGTACAAGTGTCATGTATAGTCACACCAACTTTTAGCTCCATGTTTGTAAAATGGACTGAGGTATAGCCATTTTTGTGTGCCTTTTTAAGGACTCAGGCAAAAACACTATCACTGTCTTTTTGAATAGATAATAATCATTAAGTGAACCTGCAGTTAAATGAGGAATCAAACCAAACTGTGTGTGTGGGAAGAGGGTTTCATGTTTGCAAAACACAGCCAGCATGTACTCCTGTTTTCATGTGTCAACCTTTGTCTCCGTCTGTCACTCCCAGTGTGCATTCAGCTCTGTAGACCCAGACGTAGATTTGTTTCAAATTTTCTCTTTGTGCCCCCCCACCACCTTTCACTATAAAACCATTCCACCTCCTCCATCAGCCTGTCTCATCTCCTCCTCCTGCTCTATTGCTCCAGGATCTGACAGTCATGAGATTATAATGAAACAACAGTCAGCTGGAGTCAAACTTAGAGGGAATCTGTCACTTTCATTGTTTGCTGAGTGTTGTCTGTGTCTACCTGTTCTTCTTCTTCCCACCATTGTCTTCTACTTTGTTTTTCTGTCTCTTATTTAATGGATAAATTGAATTTTAAGTTTAAATGTACGTGTTTACCTAGACTTTCATGTCAGTTATCCTCTCTTTGGGAATCTTTGTTTTAAGAGAGGTGCCAAAGTTTGGACTTCTGATCAAACTCCTGTTGCATTTTCTGCACAAATTTACTTTTTAAAATATTTTTATTACTATTAACAGTTTTCCAGACATTGTTTAAGGAATTTTGCATTTATTCAGGCTTGTTGGACTGTGAAACCACAGCAGAAGTCTCAACTTAAATATCTTTGGCAGTGTTGTATAAAGTACCTCAAAAGTGATACTTGATTAAAAGTACAAGTATCTTATCATAAAAATACTTTGGTAAAAGTTAAAGTCTTCTCTAAAAATGTTACTTGAGAAAAGTCTTAAAGTATATGATATTTTTTGTACTTAAGTATCAAAAGTAAATTTCTAACACAAAATCTGCTTAAGTATTAAAAGTAAAAGTACTGAGTAAAAGTGAGCAGTTAGATTTTGTAAAATGACATTTATTGGGAGGTGACTTCTCCAAAAAATATATTTTCTAACGGCGTGCAGCTGTGATGGGTTGTGTACAAGGTAATATGGTGTCAGAATGGTATATCTTTATAATTCTCATGCAACCACAATTAAATTCACTCTATCCAGGAGACACAATTTATCAGGATAGTATTTTTTAAATAATAACTCAGAATAAAATAGGAGTAACGACTTTCTACTTCTTACCTTTTTAAAAACTGTAGTAGTAGAAAGTAAAAAGTATGCTGAAAAATGAAGTACAGATACCCAAAAATTGTACTTAAGTATAGTAACAAAGTATTTGTACTTAGTTACTTTACAACTCTGATTTTTGATTTGTTGTGTTTTGTTGTGCGTTCATTTTCTCACTGAAACCTTTCTCTTTCACAATCAGCTCCTTGTGTGTTTTCCAAATTAGCTGCAACTTTAACGATTTCATTTTTTCCTCTGTTAGTAAAACATTTTTGTTTGTTGGAGCGAGAGCGTAGAGAAAATACTGCACAAACGAGAGAGGCTCTCAGCAAGCTAACAAAGCAGACCCAAGGTGTGATGAGTCCACCTCTGTGCTCAACAGTCGGAGAAATTTATTTCTGAAAATGATGCAGATTTGCAAACTTCTGATGCTGAAACTTAAAGTGAAGAGGAAGGAGAGAATTTCATAAGCTTCCCATGAGCACCGCTGTGCAAGTTCACACTTGATAAGGATCACTTCAGTTAAACGTACAGCTCCCAATTAATTTATTTTCGAAATATGATGTATTTGCTATCAACAAATCTATTTCATTGTCACACACAGTTTTCATGTTTTCCAAAAGTATAACGTTTTGCAGCTGTTCATTCTACAAATGTGGAGTTCCACACTTAAAAAGACCTACTCAGTTACGTTCAAAGTTAATAGGATTACAAATACGCCTGCTTGTTTGAATGTGTGATGAGGGTCATATTACTGGTGTTGACCAGAGATTACAACTTCACAGTCTCCTAAATCCATCCGAAGCTCTTTTTCAGTGTTTTGATTTGCTTTTCTAACAAGCATACAAACAGTTCTCCCTGAAAAATTTGCCAGCCTTCAAGACCATATTTGTAATTTTTTAAAAACACTAATAGCTTCTTTTAAACACTGGCTTTGCACTCATGGCCTGTTATTGCTTTGTGCGCATAACTCACATTGATTTTCAGAGTATGAGGCAGTTGATACAAGAAGCTCACGAATGCTGTTAATGCCAATAAGTTTGTGAGATCAGTGTATTTATAAAGCTTTAAAATGTCCATTACTTAAAGTTGCTTTTCCAAGAAGCTAATTAACATCTGAGACCTCTAGAAATGGACTGAAACCCTTTAGGGTGCAAAAACCTTTGCATAGGACTGCACGCCTATGTTTCTAAATACTTTCAGGCTGTAATCGTCACATACAGTCATTCTCAGAGGTTGTTTTTTTCAGTTTGACATTATATCCAACCCTGCTCCTCATTTTTGCCTTTTTTTTCTTGCTTTTTCTCTGTTTAGTGTACTTTCTCTGCATGTTTGTGTTTGTGTGTGTGTGCTGCACTGAAGGGTTGTGTACCATGTAGGGTTTGCGGGCTTGCCCTATTTATTTGCATGTGTTTGAAACAGTGTTTTCCTGTGGCAGAAACATTTTCCTTTGTACGCATTTGTGCATTATTTGTGTTTGCATATCACTGCTCTGTGTGTTTTCTGTTGTGTGAGTGTGTGTATTCTCAGGTGGCTTAAAGCCTTGCACTTGAGGCTGTATTCATATCTTCTCGATGAATAATATCTGTGGATGCCAGCGAGTGCTGGGACTCCTCTCCTCTTGTTGCTCTTCTCGCTTTCTCAAGTGCTGCTTTTCACACTTTCTTCCCTCGATTCCTCTTTTTTTGTTTTCCACTTTTTGTCCACTCTTTTACTTTTATTTTCCTCTCTCTTCTTCTTTTTGAACAGTTTTCATTAGAATATTGATTCAGATGGGACTTCTTTTATTTATCATTCATGGAGATTAAGCATGGCATCAGTTCTTGTGTTGCTGGCAGTCGAGGGGCACAAAGGCTTGAAGCTGGCTTTAGGGTCAAATGTTCGAGGCTATAATGAGACTGGTTGGCGCCCTAAATAACAACCGCTCAAGGTGCCCTTTAGCAATGTAAACCCCAACAGCTCTAAGAGCCAACAGCAGAGTTTTTTTGGTTAAACTGGCAAAGTCCCAGT